GCTGCCTCCACAGCCTGCTGGCACAGTGTTGCCAACCAGGCTCGTCCTCACATCATATTGTTGTGGTGCACTCACTCTGGGCATTGGCCGTGAACCCCTGGCCTTTGCCTAAAGAGTGCAGGTGTGGACTCACTACTGGCGCCTGTGCTCGCGTCCAGTTCGAGGACCCACTGCCGTCTGACCTGTGCGCTTCGGCGTCGGTGCGAGCACTAGGGAGTTCATGGATGCTTGCATGGGGTGGCCAGTCAGGGACCTCGAACCTTTGCCGGAGGGCTGCCGATGACGCTTGCGGAGGCTCCCTGAGCTGCCAGGGGAAGGTCCATCCATCCATCCATCCCTCATCTCCATGTCAACCAACCCCGCGTCCTTGCTACCCCCCTGACATGTGTGGCTTAAACTGCATCTATTTAGCAGCTGAAACCGTGGGTTTTGGAGCCACTGAAACCGGGTCTATTAAACTGCGGGTTTTGATATGCTTCGGCTGGTTTCTGCCGGTGCCCTGCTAAATAGACCCTATGTGGTGTTTCAGGGTGGGGGGAGGGTGGCCGGCATAAACCGGATATGATCGCCAGAAGTCTAGATCCTTTCGTTTCGCTTCGTCGTCGTGAATTTTCCCGTGAACCATTTCTCATGTAGCCATAGGACCCGATCAGTAATAAAGGCAGAATCCTGACTATCAAGAAACTGAAACATAGCTAGCTGTGTCGCGCTTGCAAGCCGTCAAAGTCAACGTGTGAGCTTTATCAAATTTTTCCTGTGTGCCACAACATAGTACACCAAGAAACCGATCACAGGTGTGACGCGGTTGTGCACCACCGACGTCGCTCCGTACGCCTTCAATGCAGAACCAATTTCACACCGAACCATTGGACTGGATCACTGGATCACCAGGGTAGAATCCTGACAACAGTATAGTATGTCAAGAAAACGCGTTGTACGCTGCTGACACCTCTCCGAACGCCTCCAGTGCAAATCTCCGATTTTTAGTTTTAGCTTCCTCGTCTTTGTCTGAGCTGTATGATACTTATCGAAGAAGAAAAACAACTCAGTCAGAAATCAGCAAGCATATATGTCCCGCAATACTGACAGGCAGACATGGTGACAAACAGTTGAGAGTTGCACCCGCCTTCTAACCCAGTTTTCATTCTTGGCATTTTTGGCAGAGATCGAGTGATCACTCCGTTTCAACCAATACTCTGCGACCTTTGTCTGGTCCGGATTCTTCAAAGAAACACTTCGCAAGCGACCGGGTGTGACCTCGTAAAAAACGATCTCGCACCCGGTCGCACCCACCCTTGCCTTCGAAGGCAACATGGGGGTTATGGGTTTTCTTACGAGGGATCTTGCACTTTGGGATTTATGGTAACCCCCATCGAGCATCATCAGTTTTTTTGACTGAATTCTTCCATAACAAATGATGGGTGCGACCGGGTGCGACCTCGAAAAAGAACGAGGTCGCGCCCGGTCGCACCCATCGAAAGAGATGCGAGATGCAACCTGCCGTTCTGCTTTTGCTCGACGTTTATTCCGGACACCCCGTAAAGCCACACGAAGCATGCACATGCGCTTTGTGTGCTCTGCGATGCTGTAAATTTATTTTGGCACTCGAGAGCTCCATCCGCAAAGAATCGTCGCCTTTGCTTCGGATGTGCCACTTGAAAATACTATTGCTGTAAGGTATGCAGAACCAGGAGCGAAGTGTGGCTTGCAGCGTTTTCACTATGCATGTTGTATATACTTGGTAAAGAGTTGGGAATATGCTTGCAAACGAAACGTGTGACAGGCCGGTTGCCCACAATGCTTCCCATTCAGTTGACTTTGCTCACCGTGAAGCTGCGATGCTCGAGGCACATTGCCGCAACTTTGATGAAATTTCTGCACAGAGAGTTTGCTCAGGCTCATGTGAAGCTCCCGGTGATTGATGATGACCAGGAGCTGATTCATGCACGCCGTCATATGGGTCAATACCGCTGAGGGGTTGAGCCTTTTGGCCATTGACTGCAAACCCTGTCCATTTCATTGCTACCATCTGCTCGATTCTTGGCGGCGACACTTGACAGTCTCAGAGACTTCCCAAAAAGGAAGAGCTTTGCCCAGATCTGTTCGTACTATCCTTCCTTCAAGTCTCCCTGCACAAGTCTAGTCTTGTGACTCTGCTGCAACCGCCACAAACAGTGCAGCAGTACCTAATAATGAGGTGATTGGCTTGGTTGCACCTTGTTGCATTGACACTTCAAGGCAGCTTGCTCTGCTGTATTCTATACTCTGCTATCCTTATTCGTTTCCTGACTGGAAGCTGAAAGACCTTGGAACGAAACAGGGTCGTAGAGACGGTCCGGTCCACACCAGAATTTGATCTGGTGAACGAATCTCCCGTAGACCAGCAGCGTCATCCACTCAACAGATGTCCATGGGAAACCCCAAGAGCTATTTCAGCCTCAACCCCGTGCCTAGCCAGCATTCTAAAGTTGACGAATACCGCGCCTGGCCTCTCAAAATTATCGGAGTGTGTACCGTTGCCTTGCCAGAGCTCGACCACCCAGGCCAAAGCCTTCGGCTGTGCCGGGATATTGGGCTGTGGGAGTTTTGACAGCCCGATGCAAGGAAGTGTACCTCCTATTGCTAGATGACGAGGCATCTCGACTGCGTGTTTTATGCTGTCGTGTCACAGTGCATGTTAATTCTGTAAGACATGTTTCCGAAGCGGCACAGGCTGAATCATATCCGGGTCCTTCAGGCAGGCTGGCCCCCAAGTTTCCTTTTACCAGTGAACTGCGCAACGATGAAGAGGTGATTGGAACTTCCTGACCTGCGCCGAGCGGCGAAAACGAGCGAAAAACAGTTGGCTAATCCCGGGAGGACATCTGAGGACGCGTCCTGTGCTGTAGTAACCAGCCGACGGCTAGATCAAACTATGCTGCAGATCTAACGAAACTATCTTCAGGATAAGGACACTTGTGAGGGAAAAGATCCGCCCTCGTTGGCCGTTGTCCCAAGCTTCGAGCCCCACCTGTACAGAGTCGAAGGAGTGTAGCTCTGCTGAGGTGGTTCGTGGCCCTGGCAGAGTGCTCGGGACAAGGGTTGAGGAATGTGCAGTACGAGGCTTGTGCATTTTGGCCGAGTATGCTGCAAGCCGCAGCTCTGGCTAACCCGGAGGTACACGCCCAAAACATCTTGTACGGCTGGGCATCTGAGTTCTCCACCGACAGGCAGCGCGAGTCGTACGATGCAAGTTTGAGAGGAGAAATCCGTTGACAGTAGGCGTTATGCATTGCATGCATTCGTGGCCTGTTGCGTGTTGCTGGCGGGCTTAATTCAGCTTTGCGATTCAGCTTTACGAAGCGTTTTGTGCGCCTAGGTTCAGGTAATTCAGAGTGTGCCGGGCCAGGTTGTTTTCGCGGCTTTCATGATGGTGCAAACACGCGCGAACGTGATCCTGGCATCTCGACAACATGACGACAGTGCGAGGAGCAAGGCAGGGGCTCTGAGCCCTGAGCCGCGCTGCATGCCACAAAGCTGCCATGCAAGGCCGCTCACCCTTTCGCTCGCATTCTCTTGAGTGGGATATGCGTGGAGCTGGTGGCCCGGGCCTTGCAGGGGAACGGTCGTGGCAAGCTCTGTTGTTGGCTACTGTGGCTACCAACGACCGACACAGCATCGCGGTTTGTGCCAAGGCTTGTTTTTTCGAAGTTCTTCATTTAATGCCCGTGCCTCAAGGCTGTTCTTTGCTGATGCTCGGAAGCCGGTCTTGTTTTCAGAAGTGTGAGGACTTAGATGCTAAGCCAAGGCTGTTTGCAAGCAATGGGTGCGGCAGCCCGATGCTGCATGCATTTTCGCTGCTGGCAACGACTTCTTCAAACTTTATTCTTGTCTCCCTACTTCTCTTAGTTGCTCGACTGCAGGCGGCTGGAATTAAGCTTGTAGTTGCTGCCGTCGAGTTCGTCGCTCTCATCAGATCAGGTCTCCCAGGGAAAGTGCGTGTCCTACAAGATGATTCCAAAGGATGCATGGAGGAACAGCCGAGAGAGAGGGAAAGAGAGAGAGTCTGAGTGGAAGAAGAGAGAGAGGGAGAGCTTTTCTTTCCTTCTCAGGCAAACTCGTTCAATGACGCCCGCATTGGCTTCGCAATCCTAGGTTCTTTTCAAACACACCTTTTCGAGGTAGTCAGTGATCCTTGAATTCGGGGGACAGGAAGGCACTAATTCGCAAACACACCAACTGTGGAAAACCCATGGGAGAACCAACGCATGTTTTTCCTTCTACCCTGTAGTAACTCAACCTGGAGGGGGGACGGGGGGGGCGCAAGCTAGCATTACTTCGCCGGAGCCTTACTTGTTTGCTGTCTTTACTGGTAGCCGCGCCCTCTTGCCTGTGACCAGCCTCTGGGGGAAACTTTTCTCCTTGTATAGGAGCCCCCTGTGGGAACACCCGCCGGGGGAAATGAGTTAGACACCCGTGGACCGCGGGTGCGCGCTCGCGCGCAGGGCACAGGGACCACCCTGTGTCCTTTGCCCCGTAGAGAGAGAGAGAGAGAGCTTTTCTTTGCTTGTTACAGTGCATGTTTTTTCTCCTTGACAGGCTGGGGGATCCAGATGTAACGCAAGCCTTGTACCTAGCACCTCTTTGTGCCGCGAACTGGTTAACCCGTTGACCGACCTCTCTCTTACAGTTGGGGGATGTTGTGTCGACTACTTTGCAGGGGATACCTCGAATATCGGGGATACCTCATCTGATCCTACTGGGGGAACTGTGGGGCTGACATTTACTTCACTTAATACTTTTATCTTGTTTTGTCTTGTTTGGAGTTCATTCCTGGGGGATCGCTTGCCTGACGTCGCACGAGCGACAACAGACTCGTTCCTCTGCGAAGACAGTGAACCTGGCTGCGTGCACTGCGTGGGGGGGGGGACTTACGGGTCCCTTTCCTCGAAGCCATTTGCAAGCAAGCAAGCAAGAGCTTTTCTTTCCTTAGAGGCACTCAGTCAACAACGAGTTTCAAACGGGGGAGTATTCTACCCTGGTTGACCTCTCTAGCTCAAGGGCTACTACAAGACTTTCGGGCTTGGTGCGCTTATGAAGCGCATAGCTGTGATGACTCGGCTTTGCATTTCGTGAAGAGGTGACATGAGCATATCGGGGAATAAACTACCTGTAACTACTTGGTTCCCGCGCCTTGCACGGCCACCGGCCGGCAAGCCCGTGACCAAGGAGTGAATAGCCGTTTGCATCGTAATTTACAGGTTGTTCGGGCTTGAGAGAGCTAGAGGGTTTCAAGAGTGTGGTACTTAGGGGTCTCGCAACAGAAAACCGGAGGAATCCGAATGCTCTGCGGACCTTCTTTTGGCACTCAAGCTCTTCCCCTGGCTTGTCTAGGATGTCTGGGCAGAGACCACGTGCGAGCAGCTCCCCAGGTAACCTGCAGAATGTATGAAAAGTGCACCGCAAGCAATGCCGTGCTGCCACTCATTGTTATGCGGCAGGCATAGGTGCTCATAAGCACGCAAAATTTGAGCTCGCGCTTCAACGAGCTTGTCAAATGGCAGAGCTCCTCGCCGTCGGGCACGAAAGTCCCGAACCAGAGCACTGAAGACCAGTGCCTCCGCTAGGCGGCCAGATAGTACCTCAGAGTTTTGAGTACTGGAACGTGTTCTTCCTATGTACCTGACATGCCTAAAGGCATTCTCTTGAAGACTTTACCAAACATGGTTGGTAAGTGACAGCAACGACATCAAAGACCCCATTTATCTCATCTAGAGGAAACTGGAGAAAGCCGTCCAATGCCAAAGACGTGGGCAGCGAAACCCCTTCCAAGCGCAGCAACAAAAGCGCCGCGACAAGCAACGCCAAGTACGCTCGCCCACGCTCGAAATCCATCCCTGGCTCTGCTCTGAGCCGGAACGACCATGAATCGGTGTCGAAGGACGTCGTTATACCCCCTCCCCATCCCCCCCACCCCCCGATCCAGTTGAAACATGCTGAACATCAAAGTCCGACAGTCCGAAGGCAAGGAAAGTCCGAAAGCAAGGATATACCGGAATATCCGAATTTCCGAAAAAGAAGAAAGGAAGCCTGGAAGTCTGAAACCGAAATGCGGGCAAAGTAGCGAAAACCCGAGGAAAAAGCGATGGATAAAGACAGAAACCCCTGGAAACGTGGTGGCCGCGCAGAGCGTGGGCTCCAACTACTTACGTGTTTGTTCATATCATGTCGTCTCTGGCCCCCAAGGTACTGTGTCGGTTAACTGCATGTTTCAATGCGAAAGGGATGGCTGGATGACGTTTGTTGCAAGTTAGGAATGCCATATCCGGCCAATAAACCATCCGAGCTTTCACACCTCCTTAAAGGCTTTCAGAAAAGCGGGCACCCGAGGCTTGACTCGCCGCTTAAGCCTGGGAGAAGGAGAGAGAGGGAGAGAGAGACTTGTACACGGTTTGTTCCCAGTGTGTTTGAGTGTTGCTGCTCTCGTGAAGCCCGTAAAAGCCCGCAAACAAAAAACCCACGCTCGGTTCGTCTAATACCATTGACGGCAGGGGGCAGCCCCTTCACACCACCAGGCAACTTAGCAAAACTTCGAGTTTTCTCTTTGCTTACTTGGTTGTAATGAGGCGGTGTGGCGAGTTTGTCCTTTTTGTGCGAACCCTGCCTCTTTTCGTGCATGTTTCTACCGAGCTATTGGCGCCCGCAACAGGCGGGGGCGCACTGCGCTGCCTTGCAAGGCCCCGCGGTACTCCACTGCGCTGCCTTGCAAGGCCCCGCGGTACTCCACAGGAGACCATGCGAATGCAAAAGGCAACAGCATGTCAGACCTGCCTTGGAGCCACTAGCTACGTTGCTGCTAGCACGCTACAATAGTCGTCCTGCCAGACAGAAGGGAGAGAGCCAGAGAGAGAAAGGGGGGGACGGGGGTCAGGAAGGCTAGGAATCAGGACTGTCCGTTCCGTTACTTTTCCTAGCCGGGGCCCGACCGGACCGCTATAGTTTTTTCTCGACGTACGTACTAGCGCACTCTCTCACAGCTACGCTCTCACATAGAGTGTTAGATCGATCTTGGCAGGCAATAGGTTGCAATAATTTTAATAGATCGAAGCAAGCTAGGCGCCCATATCGGACATCCAGGCCGAGCTATACAGCAACGGTATCGATACCGTGGCTAAATTCGGGGCCTCAGCTACGGACGAGGCGGATCTGAAGAAGATGCGAAAGCATAGCTTCGCTATCGTCGCTAGCAATGCGAGCTCAGGCCGCAGGGGTGGTAGTCGCTTGGAAGACAGCTATCATCCGGCTTTTGCGCCCGGCCGAAGCCGAGGCTGCCAACGAGGTGAGTCCGGGGAGTTCAGGGCCGAGGAGATCAGCAGCCGCGATGAGGTGGACCCGGACACGCTACGCCAGCACTAGGATGCCATAAGGGTACGCTATCCCGCAAGCAGGGAGGCTCCAGAACGGCTATGCCCTCCGGTCCGGAGCAGCTACAGCTGCGCGGCGCCTCACTTTTCTGCAGAACGCGCCAATCATGATCCAACTCAGGCACCCCAACCGGCAGGAGCTAAGCGGTGTCAACATGGCGCTACTCGAGAATCCGATCCAGCGAGGACTGGGGGTCGCTAGTCCCGCCGTGGGACCTGGTGCCCAACTATGAGCACGCTATCCGTAAGCATGCCTACAAGGTCATGCTTGGCTACTGCAGGATACAACTTTGGGGCCGCACTAGTCCACGTCAAGGTGCCCTCGGTGAAGGAGCGGAGCTTCACCGCGCCGCAGGCGCTCCACGCTAAGCGCCCGCAGCCGTGGCACGCTAATCAAGAGCGGCCCGACATGAAGCTAAAAAAGAACGAGACAGAGCAGCTACGGCAGTTTTGGAAGGACTGGCCTGCTAGAGCTGCTAGACGTTGCTCGGGGCAACCGCGATACCTCAAGCTCATCCGTGAGATGCCCAACGCGGCTGGCTGGGGACCCCCACCGTGACTTCCTCGGGAAGCGGAGGAGGGGCTACCTGTTGGCATTTTACCGCACGTCTTTGAAGGGCAGCTAAAATGGCCTCTGGAGATTGCTCCCGGGAGCGAAGAGAACATGCGGAGGCCGACGGTATCGCCTTGTCGGTGCATGGTGGGTGACATCGCTACCTCGAGTGCCAGCCGCTACACAGACGGGCTACGTCCATCTGGTAGGCACCTTCGTGCGAGCTACTGGTGACACGCATCGCAGCTTGTGACGTTCGACGGGACGAGGTTCCCCCTGCGCATGCTAGTATATGCGGACGATTTGAATTTGGAGTCCATGGGCCGGCTGAAGGGAGGCGGGGGATCACTCCTAGCTACTTCTTCCTTGCGGCGCTAGGTTTTCGTTCACAAGCGGGCTATAAGATCCGTGGGGGCTTCCGGAGTGGCTATGGATGGAGAAGGAGTATCCGATTCTACATGGTTGGCCGAGTGGCTCCGCACGCTACCCGTTGCCGAGGCTCGGACTCGCGGCCAATGCGCTAGACTGGAGCGTCCTTTCTTGGGACCACTACACGCCTGGTCTTCTGCTGTCCGCCTGGCATTGGCTGGCTGACGGATCGATGCCCCACTCAAACCCTTCACCCACGCTGAGGCCGAGAATGGCCGTGCCTGGATTGGAGGCTTCCTCGAACTAGTCGAGGGATGTCAAGGATGTTGGTTCTCGCAAGAGTTCAGAGGTCAAGGATAGTTGGGCGCCGTGGGCCTTCGCTAAGGGGACCCGAGCAGGTGATCGCTGGCTACATTGGTGGGTCCGCTTCTGGGTGCCCCATGGCGACGCTTGAAGACCCCAAGGGCCAGGGTGGACATTCGGGGCTACACGGACAACTAGTCCAACGAGGCGCTACTCAGCAAGGCGGTGACGACCAAGTTCACTTCCACGCTAATCCTCATGGAGCTAGCAGAGGAGCTCTCTGCCAAGAACTGCGA